CTGAAGATGCCAGCCACAGATGCTGGCGAAATGTCAGAACGAAACTCTTCTAGAACATGGCCACACAGCCCAAAACCCCACAAAAAACCAATCTGATTTTCTGCTGATATTCTTTGGTGAACTTGAATGTGTTTGCAGTGAACAGCTGGCTCCAGAAAATTCAATTAGTCACTCTTCTGCTTCATTTCTTGATCCTAGGTCTAGGACAAATTTTCCTGCAATCTTTGATTCTGCTCCGTTTCCTATTTTTGCATTCCAATCACCTATGATTAACAAGAAGTCCTGCTTTGGTCTGTGATCAGTATCCTCCTATTGGATTCCAGCATAGAATCTCAGATTCTTCTTTTTCTATCTCAGTAGCTGGAGCACAAACCTGGATCATAGTTATATTGATGGGTTTTTCCTGAAGTTTTATTGACATGATTCAGTCAGATTACATTATACTCTTTGATTGCTTTTGGTGTTTGTCACTATTAATGTCACCCCATTTCTTCTTAGATTTTCATTTCCTAAGCAAAACATTGTATAAATATCTGACTCAAAATGTCCCATTCCTGTCCAGTTTAGCTCACTCACCCCAAGCATTGTAATATTTATACATTTAATGTCTTGTTTTGCTATGTCTGCCTCCCCCGGATTCATGCTTCTCACATTTCGTGTTCCTACAATGTGTTGTGGAGCATCAGATTTTCTTTCACCTCTAACCATGTCAACAGCTGAATGTCTTTTATGCTTGAGTCCACTTGCATCATTAGCCATTGCGCTAGTCACAGCTGCCCTTTGCTCTACCCCAGTAGCTTCCCAGTAATCCCAGTGGCTCTGCAACTGAAGTTACATAATGTTTGCAACCTGGGAGTGTCATCTTCTGACACTATCTCTTGTTTCATTTTGATTGTCTCATCAGGTTATCTTGGTAAAAGACATTCAAAAGGGTTTACTATGCCTCCTTTTGTGCAGTACTCAGTATTAGCGATGGTGTGACTGCTGTTGTCTCAGAGATCCTCTGGCAGTGTCACACTGCACTACTGTTGCTGCCCAGTAGCTGTTTGGCACATTTATTCTGGCTCCCTAGCAAAAGCCTGTCTGACGTGGGAGACCCTACCAGCAGCACCACCACCAGCAGCATAACATCTTGCCTCACAGATGTGGGAGATTGCCTAGTATGTTATCTAGGTGTTCCCCAGTTTATTGAAAGTAGTGTTGTGCATGAGGTTACCTTTCCATAATGATGCTCATAAGTTGCTCTTGTTGTTGTTATTATTATTATTAGTAGTAGTAGTAGTATTTATACCCCGCTCTTCAGCCAAAAGTTGTTTATAAAGCACACAGAATTAAAGTATGCTGCATGTACATTGCAATTCCTATTTTAGTAAACCCCTACAATGTAAGGTTGTGAAAACTGGACTGTGGAAAAAGTGGACATGAAGAAAATCAACTCATTTTAAATGTGCTGGACTGGAGGAGAACTCTGTGGATACTATTTGTTGTTGTTGTGTGCCTTCAAGTCACTTCTGACATAGTGGCCCAAAGGCATGGGGTTTTCTTGGCAAGATTTGTTCAGTGGAGGCTTGCCATTGCCTTCCCCTGAGGATGAGAGCATGTGACATGTCCAAGGTCACCCAGTTTCATAGCTGAGCTGGAATTCGAATCCTGGTCTCTATAGTCAGCCCAGTGCTCAGACCACTACACCACACTGGCACTCATATGGTGGATGTCACAGAGTGCCAAAAAGACAAATAAATGGGTCTGATAGCAATAAGCTTCAACTCTTGCTACAAGGCAAAATGACTAAACTAAGGCTGTCCTACTTTGGACATACCATGAAACATGATTCATTGGAAAAGGCAATAATGGTTGATCAAATGGAAAGCAGTAAGAAAAAAGGAAGACCACATTGCAAGTGGGTTGGCCATGAACAACAAAGCTTGCAAGACCTGAGCCAGGCTCCTGATAACTGGGGCCATACCTCAAAAAGCCATTTTGACTGTAAATAGCAACAACAGTTTTGAAAACCATTGTAGCGGTATTGACAGACACAGCCATCTTAGTCTGTATGAGCATAAAAAGATTTAAAGAATACTGTAGCACTTAGAGAACACCATTATAACCTAGGTGCTTGTAGACTCCTGAATTGGGAGTCCATGAAACCTTATGCTAAAAATTGGTTTCTCTCACATGCATCTACAGTGTAGAAATAATGCAGTTTGACACCGCTTTAACTGCCCTGACCATCCTACAGTATCCTGGGAATTGTAGGGGGTTTTGTTTGTTTTTTAACCATCAGAAGTGGAATCTTTATTTTTTATATATAGTGATACTTCTCTTTCCCAACAGTATTTATTTTTTTCTCTAGAAACATTATTACAAGAACCAAAAAACAACTTTATGAAAAGATTACAAAGTGACAATGAAAACTCTTTTAACTTAAAAAAGGGGCAACCTTCTTTTCCAAAAACATTTATTCTCTAATTTCTCCATCTTCTTCCATGCCCCTTTTGAACCTAGGGATTTGTAGTTTTGCGAGGCACCAGCACTCTTTGCCAGAGAATGCTAGAGACCGCAAAACTACAAATCCCAGGATTCCACAGGAAGGAGCTACAGCACTTAAATCATAGAAATCAAAGCAGTGTCAAACTGCATTATTTCTGCACTGTAGATGCACTCTCAGTTTTCAAAGGTGCTACAGGGTTCCTTTATGATAAGGAATATGGATGTCTGGTTTCAGAATTACAAGATATAAAGGCTTTATTTATGTAATTCTGAAAGCAGACATCCATTTTCCTTATATAAAAGTGAGGGTGCATCTACAGCTTTTATGTCTTGCAATTTTGAAACCAGGCATCCCTATTCCTTTTGCAAAGGAAAACAA